ATTAAAATCAAACTAATCTCATTAAAGTTGAATTTTTATTTTTTAGAGTTATTATTAAGTTTTAGATGTTTCTTACCAAAAAGGGGAAAAAAAAATTATGATTTCAAGTTTAATTGATAGGTGGGTTAAACTTAAGATTGCCATTCTAATTAAGTTTTACATTCTTTCTTTCTTTCTTTCTTTTTTTCCTTTTTTTGACTAATTTTGGTCCATAGAACAACTAAAGACTTTATTAAAGTGGTATGTGCTGCTGTTTTCAAATGTAAGTCCATAAATAATAAACATGACTCTTTGTTTTTTTTTTTGTTTTTTTTTCATAGTTGTGTTTGAACATGACTTGTCTAACAAAAACAAAAATATATATAAATATTAATGATCCATAATTAAAATAACTTTTATTTATTTGTGTATTTCTAATACGATTCTTATATCAATTGTATTGTAGTTTGAAGTGGATTTTAGAGGGTTGGATTGAAAATTAATACCTTCCAAACTGCCGGAACTCAATTTCATTTGTCTTTTTGTCCTTTATCTCATTAAAGTAGAAATGATTACATTTGCGAATTTGGGTAATGAAAGATCATTTTGATTTTGTATTCAACAGTTTATATATATATATATTTAGATGTATTGTTGAACCACCGCAAGAAATAAACACAGGCAGCCTTGCTACTAGAACCACTTGTGCATCCCCATGGACCTACATAGAATTTTATAGTAGTACTCATGACTTGAGTTATACTTGAGTTATCAACATTTTTATGATGCATTAGTCTATTTCAATCAATTTAGTTTACCAATTGAGTAATTTATGATCATTATTATTATTTACCCATAAAAAAAATATAAAAAAAAAAAAAAAAATTATGACTCACTAGTTCTTTTTAATGTGCTTTGTACTTCATAGGCATGAGGCGAAATTTATCCAAAAAATTGTTCAAGAGATTATAAAAAAATTGGAACATAAACCATTATATGTTGCCAAGTATGAATTAGTGGGGATAGATTCTCGTTTCAACGGAGTGATCAAATTGCTAAATAAGGGGTCAAAGGATGTGTGCACTGTGGGAATTTGTGGAACTGGGGGAATAGGAAAGACAACCATAGCCAAAGTTGTCTTCAATCGAATATTTAATAAATTTGAAGGTTGCTGTTTCCTTAGTGATGTGAAAGAAGTTTCAGAACGACAGAATGGTCTAACTGATCTGCAACAACAACTCTTGAATGGCATCCTAATGGAAGATCTAAAGATTTCTAATGTTGACTACGGGATCAATGTGATAAAGAAAAGATTATGTTACAAGAAGGTCCTGGTGGTTCTTGACAATGTGGATAGTTTGAAGCAATTGGAAAGTTTAGCTGGAGCAAATGATTGGTTTGGTTTTGGAAGTAGGATCATTGTAACAACCAGAAATGAACGTTTATTGGTGGAGCATAAAGTAGATGAAATGTACAAGGTTGAGTTGTTGAATGACGATGAAGCTCTTCGACTTTTTAGTTGGTATGCTTTCACTAACAACCATCCCTTGGAGGATTATTTGGATCTCTCAGGAAGTGTGATAAATTATGCCCAAGGCCTTCCATTAGCTCTTCAAGTTTTGGGTTCTTTTTTATTTAAAAGGAGTTTAAAAGAGTGGGAACATGAAATGGACAATTTGAAAAGAATTCCTAATAAACAAATTCATGATGTTCTTAAGATAAGTTTTGATGGCCTTGACGACACAGAGAAGGATTTATTCCTTGACATTGCTTGTTTCTTCAAAGGGTATGATGAAGATTATGTAATGGATATATTGGGCAGTAATTGGTTTCACCCACGAATTCCAATTCTTATTGAACGATCATTGATAACTATCGCAAACAACAAGCAGCTATGTATGCATGATTTGTTACAAGAAATGGGTAAGGAAATTGTTCGTCACGAATCACCTGATGATCCTGGCAAACGAAGTAGGTTGTGGTATTATGAAGATATCTATAAAGTGTTCAGAGAGAATACAGTACGTTCTAACCCCATATAAGTTTATTTGCAATTTTGATACTCATGTTGTGTAAAAAAAAAAAAAAAAAAAATAGATTTCTTAATGTTTTTTCCATCTAAGCAGTTGTAAACTTGGATAATTTTAACATTTTAACATTGCATGGTAACTTACACAATGTTCTTGGTGATCAGGTGACCGGAACAATTAAAGGCATTATGCTAAACTTGCCTGATGATCATGTACCAGAGGAGTTACATGTAGATGTCAATGTTTTTGAGAAGATGAAGAAACTAAAACTACTTAAACTCAGTGGGATAAGACCTTGTGGACGCCTTACATATATTTCAAATGAATTATGTTATCTCGATTGGGATGATTACCCTGCAAAGTTTTTGCCATCCAATTTCCATCCAAAAAATCTTGTTCAACTTCGCCTTTGTCACAATCAAATCAAAGAAATACCATCAAGTATCAAGGTATGATCAAAGTTTATTTATACAATTATTTACATATGAATAGTATTGTCGGATTTTATTGAAACTGATTGATTTCTTGCATTGTTTGTTTCCTTTCCAGTTTCTAGATAAGTTAAAATACCTTAATCTCTGTCACTCTTTAAATTTGTATGAAACTCCTGACTTGTCTAGTCTCCCACGTCTCGAGATATTAAATCTTAAAGGATGTAAAAATCTAATTGAGGTCCATAAGTCAATTGGAGTTCACGAGAGGCTTGTTAGTTTGAATCTTGAGGATTGTAAAAATCTGAGGAGTCTCACAAAATACATCAAGTTGGAAAAGTTGGAATCTCTGAATCTAAGAGGATGCTTAAAACTTGAGAAGTTTCCAGAGATTCGGGGGCATATGGATTGTTTGCGGCATCTTTCTTTGACAAAAACTGGAATAAAAGATTTGCCTTCATCAATTGAGCTTCTTGAAGGGCTTCGGTCTTTACGGGTATACAATTGCCGAAAGCTTAAAAGGGTTCCAAGCAACATTTTTTCTAGAATGAAGGATTTAACAATCCTTGACATGAGAGGAACCGCTATAGAACAGTTACCATCGTCCATTGTACACTTGTGTAACCTTAGTGAGCTTCGTCTAAGTGATTTACAAAAATGGTCTCCCAAAACGCCAAATTCATTGGTGCCATTTTCATTGGTGCGAAAGAGAACTCCTCCTGCTTCAACTAATTATTTGCAACTGGAACTGCTCTCCGCTTTGAGCACTTTATCTTATTTAAATTTAAGTGGAAGCAATTTCTCTAGCATACCAACAAGCTTCATTCAACTCGAATGTCTGAGAGTCCTTTATTTGAAAGATTGCACAAGCCTCCGAACGTTGACTTCACTTCCGTCATCTATTGAATTTGTGGATGCACATGGCTGCATATCATTGGAACGGTATTGGATTCCACCAAGTGGAATTGGTCCAAACAATCGCAAATTCAGATTCACTGAGTGCCACAAATTGGTTATGGATGAGATGGAGAACATGCCAAATATATCATCACAAACTCAGCTTCAGGTTAATAACTTAACCTCTCTCATTCTATCTATATATATATATATATATATATATATATATATGTATTCAAAACTTGGGGATCTTTATTGTGTGCGTGCATGAAACAGGGAATTGAATGTATCAGTTTTCCGGGAAGTGAGATTCCGCAGTGGTTTAGGCATAAGAGTGAAGTTGAGGGTTCTTTGTCTTTGGTGGTAGATGATCTATCTTCTTACAATAACGTCGAAGGAATTGCAATCTGTGCTGTTTTGGAACTTGATACATTTTTCACATTGATTATATTTAATCTCCAAATCAACGGTTATAGCGTGTACCTAAAGGCTTATCCGTATGAAAGGTCTGAAGGCAATCACGTTATTGTGAGGAACATAACGGAATTTGATGAAGATGAGTCTAAAGACAAACAACCAATTAAGAATTTGATGAAGAAGAGACCAAAGCTCAGCCCAGGCCCTCCCAATATTTGTGATGATGCCAGCTGTTACATTCAGGCTTCAGTTTTATCAATTGACTGCATACGTGGCACTAGACAAGAAAAGAAGGTGAAGAAAATGGGAATCAGTCTAATTAGGAGCAAGGTTGAAGGTGAGTAGACCCACCCAATAATCATCATATCATACTTTCATCACTCTCTTCACACTCAATTTCTCAATTCTTAAAATCATACCAACATTTTGAACTATATATCATATTTTTCCATATATAATGTTCATTTATGCAGCAATTAATTAATTACTGTATTTGATTGTTGCAATTTTGTAGGCTAACACACAGAAATCCTAGAAGACAGTTGTATGTTTGTGGAGCAACATCCTAGCATTAAGAGGCAAACAAAGGATCATTTGGGTACTTTTGATTGTCAATTTTGTATACAAGAAGCTCTGTCTGTCGTAATAACTATTTCAATCGTGATGGAAAATGTTTTGTTAGTACGTACCAAAATCTTGTGGATTATAATTTCACATCAAGTCCTGAAAATTTTTATTTATAATAATCACACCGTGTAATGGTCACATGCCATATTACAAATGACTTCCTAGCAATACTGAGGGGTCACTTGTCATGGTGATCTTGCCAGTGATCTTGATGAAGGGTGACGAATATCTGGTGGTAATGGCAGCAGCAATGGTCTAATGATGATTATAGTGGTGAGGACAAAGCAGATGGAGGCAGAGGAAATAGTGTGCTGACAGCAGTGGAGGCAATGGCGGTGCAAGTTGTGGTAAGTCGAGGCAATGGTGGTGTAAACTGGCGGATGACCTACTCACCCATTCATGAATTCATATTCCCAAATTCCTTTCATTTTTAAGCCACCCTCTTCTTTTCCTTTCTATTCCGTCAATTCAAACTAAAATGCTAGAGTGAAAAAGGACATGTTTAATGTCCTCGACACTATATAATAAAGACCATAAGGCGCAGCTCAAGAGTAAATTAGGTGCCCCAAACAGACCACGTCATTGGTAAGTTCACCTTCTCGGGCAGAACTACACATCATTACACATTTGAATCTACGTAATACACCATTAACATCAGTAAATACATACAAGTTTTGCGCATGGAGTTCACTGAAGAAGACGATCAATACTCAACTTACTCTCAAGAATAATCCTACCAATCACAACTTTTCACTATAAAGAAAATTTGATTTACTTTTGAATACTAAAAAAATGGAAAATTTTCAAACAGCTGTCCCTCCCTCTATTTTTTTTTTTTTAACTATTTAATTTACAAGAAATTCAAAAGGTAAATGAATTTTGGACATGCTAAATCCAGCTCTTCTCAGCTTTGAACTCCTCACCTCAAAATTTGAGGTTACTTGAGATCTGATACCAGCTTAGCCACAGCTCAATGGTCACCCAATTATTGCTGCTCGGGGCATTTAATTTTGCTATGAACATTCGGAGTGATGTTGTCAGTCCGAATGTGCAACGTTTCTTGATGAAAACGCTACTACAATAAATCAAATTCATTCCAAGATAGCGCAAAATGGCTCTGCACATATTTACATCAGGAAGCTTGCGCAGAAGAATTATATAGAGGAGAGGATACTTCAGCTAGACAGATTAGTACTCAGTTATGCATGCCTCCCATCATCAAATATGGATTTCAGTGCTGACATTATCTTTACTGTTTCAAGGACTATGCAAATTCCGCAAGTGGTCCACCACATCACATGAAGAGCTAAGTCGTGGAAAATCGGACCGGTGAAGGACATTTGCTTGGACACGGCTTGTGTCGGGTTTGTGATCCATACGCATGGTCTTGGCCGAGAAGCTGTGGCGCACACGGACACGGTGATTTCTTGTCTCTGTAGTGCAGTTGCCGCGCACCTTAACCACCAGTATAACTTCCTGATCTCTGTTGTCTTCACACCACCAGTTTTGTGGGATACCATCAACAAACTCCTCTAGGGTTTGGAAGTCCTCATGATGAACTAAAATCTCCACAATATGACCTGGTTTAATAATGCCAGAAGCTGGACTGACCTGGTTTAAATGCATGGTGAATAAGCCAACGTTAACAATAGATAGTACATACAACCAAGACTCAAACTCCCATGGTTGCAGCCCTTAAGACAGCATGCAGTCATTTGATTAAGTAGCGAAAAAACAACATAATAGTGTCAGGCCATAATACATGTTAGTCAAAATTTTAAAATATATATACATATAGAAAAAGATGCAAATATGTAATGACGACAGCATTTCTTGTTGTACATACAGGGATGGTCGAATCAGATATCAAGATATCAGTTTGGCTCTCATAAGAACATACTTTTTTCTATAAGAAATTTAGTAGGTAATCATCAAGGGCCAATATCCCCATTGATATATGTGATGTTGTGGCCCGAATCCTGTTTCGGTCCAGGTTGCAACAACCCGAAATGGGCTTTGTGTGAATCCGAAGCCCACCAAAAATTTTATGACCCTTTTTTGCTTGCAAGTCTTGGACTCTGTTTAGGACACTCTTGTTGCCCAGTATATAAGGGTGTTTGGGGTTTGCAGTGTGTAACCAAAGACCAAGGAAAGAGAGAGAAACTTGTAATCTCCTATTTTTCGCACGGTGAAATTTTTCACCAGATCTTCACCGTGGAGTAGGCTTATGCTGAATTACGTAAATTGTTGTATCTCCGGATCAACTCGTCTTGTCTCGGATCTTCAAATCAACTTATTTCGGATCTCCAGATCAACTCATCTCAGACTCTCCACAACTTCGTATTTAATTTCAAGTTGGACACTTGAGTTAAATCTCCGTGTACCAACTTAAGGGGGGGGGTGTTGGCGAATAATTATAGGAGTGATTTAAGCTCTTAAATCACTCCTTAACAGAATGTTAATGTTGCTATACTTGGGCAACAAGTTGTTGCTATATTTATATTTGACTTTCTATGTAACTCCTTTATTACAAGTCTTTTCCAATTCACCTATATATAGAGGTGGTTATTATAAACAAAATTAAGAGAGAACGTAATGAAAGAGATGTAGCCCTCCGGGCTCTTTGTGTTATGGATGTAAGCCCTATTGGCTGAACCACGTTATATTCTGTGTTCTTCATGTTTTAATTTCTCTCTTCAATTTTTATTTCTTTCAACAACTCTTATACCATGTTAACAACCATCTACTCTAAAAGTTTAAGCTTTAGAGAGGGTGTACTTTAATACTTAAATCCTTTAATATTAAGCAAAACTTTCTCATTGATAAAGTTGTTATGACGGCAATCAAAAGCTTGAAGAATAATAAGATAATGACAGAGCCAACCGAGGAGCACTCTTAAATTAAGAGAGAGAGAGAGAGATCAACAAACAAAATTGAAAAATTATAGACAAATCCAAGGACAATTGAAGGTGTAGAATAAACATGAAAGTTAATAGTAGAATAAAAGAGCACTACATGTGATGGAGTAAATTACAATTCTACTAAAATATCAATAAAGTACTGACTCATATTTTTTCTTCTTACTTGCTTCTCAATTGTTTTTATTTTTTCAGATTAGGATCACTGAACCAATATACACTAGCTTCTCTTTTTGTTGCTTTAATTTATTTCATTAAGGGTAAGGAAAAACATATCAATAGCTCTAATATTTTTAGACAATAAATATGTTGGTGAATTGCACCATGAGTTGTTTACCTTTCACATTATCTTTTTCCGTGTTGAAACTTTAGTAGGCTTTACTTAATGAAAATGCTCACGGGTCTTGTAGATCATGCCTAGACGGGCTATTTGTTCATCTATATTCAGCTACTAATATAAGAATTAGTCTAATTATGTTTTTCTTTTTTTTAGTCTATTACACATCACATTCAATGAAAGTGCAACCAAAACCTTTTAATACCTCTATCCCTTAGCGATGAACACTGCCTGAATTTGCTACACAAGAAGAACAGAAGTGATATTGAATCCTATAATTAAAACAACTTTGGATGATTTTGCGGCAGATGAATAGTTTAGAGAGAGAGAATCGATGAATCCAGAGAATAGTCTAAAAATAGAGAAATAATCAACCTTATCTGCAAGATAAAATCTGAAACAGATGGAAGAAACAGAAGGAGTGACGTTCAGCTTTTCCCAATGATATATTTGTTGAGAGATAATTGTTGGTATGGAAGAGCTAGCTATTGGCTAGTTCTTGGTACAAGTGCAAGTAGGTAATTTAGAAAGGAGTTTAGAATTGATCAATGATTTTTTATTTTTATTTTTTGGTGGTGAGTACCCACACACATGTTGTGCATGCAAGGGCTTGAACCCTTCCCCTCCTCTCTGAGGGCAGGGAGGTTATACCATTGGGCTAATGACCCATTGGTAGAATTAATCAATTAATTGATTCTATTAGAATTCCTTTCAAAAGTGTTAATGCATTCATGTATTTGGACCTATTGATGCCTATTAGTTATAGGAAGTCAAATTGACTCAGAAAGATAAAGCATTCAGTGATGCATTCAGTTTATTTAACACCAAAGTATCTTAATGAAAATTTTAGCCAAATTTGTTAAAGTGGAATAGACGTAATTTGGATCTTCCGAAAGACTATTATAGGCCACCACCTCTCAATTAACTTTTGTATTCAGAATTCTAGCTTACGATCATACAACAATTGAAATTCTTAGGAAGTGCATGATCATTAGTTTACGTTCCTCATTTCCAAAAATTATGCCAAAAATTTTTTTTGTAAAGCTCAGCAGATAGGGGGAGAACATCTTTAGCTTGATAGACATGATCGATTTAGTACTTAAGATTCTCAGCCGTCTGACCAGTCCAATGTGGACTGGATCAATCAAGTCATTCTCTAGAGCTGATTTATTTGCCTTCAGTTTTTCCTCCTTCCAACACACGAGTTTTCAGATCTATGGAATTCTTCACATCCCTTTTCTGTAATTTTGAGTCAAGGGACTAACTTTTGGTTTCTTTCGGCATGGATTCTCTTATTTCTGATCATTTCCTTTATTTGTAATTCTTACATAACCTTTGTTAACTTGTGACAAAAATAGAGTAGAATTTAGAGCGAATATAACATAAAAAAGGAGTTCTTGAGTGCAAATTCTTGATTTTCCTTGCTTCTCTTTACTTTATTTTCATATGTATAGTTAATAGTAGTATCATATTTCCATGTTTGTCTTGGGGTTATACTGTGCTTGACATTTTTGTTTCATGGTGTACAATTGTGCTTCAAGAATTTAAACAGAATCCTAAAGATTAGAGTCAAGGAAGCTGAAGGTTATAACTATGTAAGAGTAATTTAATTTTTGTGGTTAATAAGATAATTCTTATGTGTATGTTTTGTTTAGAATCTTTCATAAATTATTTTGCTAGCAAATAATTAAGTTGTTGGGGTTGAGCCACTTCATTTCGACACTGAAAGTGAAAATTAAGGATTGAAGTAGAGACAAGTTTGCAACAACGAGGTTCCTCTAAGTCAATGATCGCGCACACTTGAAATAATAAAATTAGATATCTTTGGTTTTAGATTGGTTATGAGCTTTAAATAGCCTAAAACATCCCTAATTGACCTTGGTTAATTGATCTAATGTCCAGAAATTGAATAGAAACCTTAATTGTATAAAACTGTAGAGGGATCATTTGGGCCTCTTGTGGTTTGATCCATCCATGTACACATTGGGTTGATTGATTGAAAAAAGTGGACCAGTCAAGGGTGGACCAGTAGCTACTGGACCAACCGAGGTCAAGGTGGACCAATCCAAGTTTGTGATGTACAGGATCAATGGAGCTTTTTAGTCAAATCGATTGAGCTTCAAAAAGTGTAGGAAATTCTTGAAGTACTCAAACTCCAAATTGGTTCTATACTCTTGTGAGTTACAGATATTTACTTCGGGTGGGTTCACCCATAAGAAGGGAGTTTTATGAGACCACAAAATAAAGAAAGAGAGATTTTTTGTTCTCCCAATATTTTACTTCTATTAAATTTCTAGCTATTTCTATCAGACAAAAGATGCAACTTATTAAAACTTGTAAGTACATGAAATATAGTGAAATAATCAGGCTGGCAGGTTGAGGTTCATGCTGAAAATGGTCCAACACATCAATTTGGAAATGTCTGTGTATTATCGAAGCAAAGACCAAACTGTTGCTAATTCCAGAGTGCATGATATGATAAAAGAGCATTCATGATTTTCTAAAAATCAAGGGAATTACCTCAAGCCATCGAGGGAAGCCAAAAGAACCTCTTGGATGATGATTGGATGCTTGTCCATCCTCCTTAACGGTGGACTGACCTTCACAAATGATTTCAAACAATGCGTTGTCTACCCCACATTTGTTAGTTATACGCAAAATGGATGTATCCTGGTTCTGAAGGATTATATTGTTCGTACTTATAATTGTTTCCGGAACCTTGCATAGTTCTTCAAGCATACGCCTGATTTTCTCATTAGATGCCACAATTTCTCCGAACTCTTGTCTTCTCACAGACTCATCTACTCGAGCGATCTCAACACTAAATACGCAACGGACAGGCTTGTGATCACTATCTGTCACATCCATGCAAGCCTCATACCTAATTAGAAGGAGATGTCAAGCCTTTAGCAGAATAAAATGGAATATATATATATGTACAAGGACTAAATAGAGAGAGCAGCGATACCTGGTACAATAAATAGTACTCATTAAAATGGAATAAACGAATTATGTTAGGACTATATATAGAGAGAGCAAAGATACCTGGTACAATAAATACTACTCATTAAAATGCAATAAACGAATTATGTTTCATAAGACTAACATCTACAGATGACAATCTGGCCGGTACGCCCCACCCTGCTTGGGACCGGTTTGGTAGGAGGATAGTTGAGGCAGGTTTGGTTCAAAAGATCTCCATCCCGCCCTGCAGCAGTTATGAATTAGTTTTACTAAATATCCTAAGTTATCGCTAAAACTTCGAGGGTACACTTCCATAATAAGAAGCACGGAAACGAATACGGGACACGGATACGACACGACACGGATACGAATTAGGACACGGACACGGACACGGCAAATAATAAATATATTATATATATATATATGATGTACTTTAAGAAATTAAGAGTAATATTAGTTTTTACAACCTCAGAATGAAAAAATAAATAAATAAATTGTGTTTTGCTGGGAAAAAGAAAGAATGATAGAAAGAGAAAAAAAAAAAAAAAAAAACAAAACAAAACAAAAACAAAACAAAACAAAGAAACAAAGTGGATTAGGGTTTTGTTAGAATAAGAATTAGGCCTTAGCTAAATATAAAGGTAAGAATCCTTAGAAGAGAAAAAAAGTTCATGGGGAATAGAGGAAAAAGGAAAAAGAAATTTATTGGGAAAGGAAAAAAAAAAAGTATCTAGGATTTGTGAAGAACAAGAAGAAGAAAGAAAAGAGGAGGATGAAGAAGAAGAGAGAAAAGAGAATAGAGAGATAGAGAGACCATCAACCGATAGCAAAGCTTTGTTCGTTGGAGAACAAGAGAGTCAAAGATAATCGTGCAAGAGTTTGAACTTTGAACTAAAATATAAGGATAAATATCTAATTGTTCTAATATAAAATTGTTTTATAAAACAACTTTAAAGTAATTCTGTAGTTACCATCATATTGCTGAAAGTTATTAAACAACTCCTAATATTTATACTTCAACTCAACATAGTTTCTAAAACTTTCTTAAAATCCCCAAGAATGGGACACGTGTGTCGGACGCGTATCCATGGTGTGTCGGATGCATGTCCGGATATTCAAGAAAATGTAAAATATTCGGACACGTTTTTTGGCGTGTCCGGCGCGTGTCGGTGTCCGACACGGATTTTTTGCCCTTTTAGGTTGTCCGTGCTACCTAGCAGTTCCATATATAATTGTCTCAACCCCCATGATTCACTTGCCCTTGCCCTAATATTTTCTGCTATTATATTTCCATCATTCACTGCCACCACTGTCATGTTTTCCACTTTTAACACTACCATCCCCAGAAATCATGAAATTCACCAAGGTAATAGTATAGATGTTTAGGTCTATTAGATCATCACTCTCTGCCTCATCATGTGTGTGTGTGTGTTTGTGTGTACCCAAAAAGTTATATTTCACAACCATATCCTCCCTATCCTTGTATTTTCGATTCTGAAGCTGCTCGGGAAAGGGTACCATGACCATCTTCTTCTTTTTTAATCTTCTATACTACTGTTCAAAACTCAACTGACATCAATATGCATCTCTCTCATTTCGAATCCATTCAAACATCATCACTCGCATAGATCTGATTCAAAGTAAGCAGGATAGGGATGGATTTAAGGAAGTACGTTGAGATTGGGAATGGGACTAAATGTGTATACCCCGATGCAGGTATGGGACACGGATGGGAAGGGTTGTTTCTTAGCAGCGCGGGGCAGGAGAGGGAAAACCCGTCCCATACCCACCCCGTTGCCATTCCAACAAGCATTGTGTCACATCCTCCCCTCCTCTTTTTCTTTCCACGCACATACATACACTATGGCACATGTCATGCACCTCATTAGATGCCAGAAGTTTCCATATTATCATAAACCTTGTTTTCTTCTTTTTTATTTTTAAAGAAAAATCACTATCATCTGCAATGGGTATGTAGATGTACAGCTGTCGACATCATGTTAAAAAGTGAAACCACAGGTGCATAACATGCTAACAAGCATTGAAGAGTGCAACCCAAAGGCTTTCATTAAATATGGTATTAGTGTATCACTCTTCACTGTAACACATATGAGTTCTTGTGCTAGTTTTTGTGTATGCATAAACATGTATTTAAGTATTGCATATACAGCCCTATAAGAAAAACTTACTGTGAAATTGAAGAGACTACAGGACAGTCTAAACAACATGTAGATGCTGAAGCTGCACGGCTATCACGGTATAAAATTCTGTCACACCAGGCAGGAACACGCTTCTTTTCACCAGAATCATATCCTAAAAAAGAGTTCACAGCAAAGATCAGACCTAAGAATAACAATTTTAAGAATATCCCTTCAAAGAGACTGAAAGGGAAAAACCATTCATATGAGAGTGACAAGAGTACCAAAGTATTCTATAGAGCTAAGTTAAAATCCAGCTCACAAACTAGATGCTGATACAGCTGATCCACTACTCTCATAAATTCCATAGTAGAAGTTACCTGCTAAACCAGCTTGGTGCCTTTCAAATTTGTATGTTGGAGGAAATCTAATAACTGCTTCACGCAATCCTTGGAAGACATTCCCAGCTTCCATTTCTGCTCGGAGCTGATCCCTTTCTCTAAGCCAATCAAAGCATCGTTGAGAAACAAAATCCCTCGCTTCATCATAAGATATACCATCAAGCCGGTAATTAAAGTCACCAAGAAATATAACCATATCTGCCTCGGATAGCTCAGGCATCCCTTCCACAGAGTGGATACCCACAGCCTGTACAAGCATTAACAACATTTTATCACTCTAAAAATCAAATATAAAATAAATGATTTCTACAACAAGATTATCTGAAGACCAGATAGCTGCAATACTGATCCAGGTATGTACATACATTTGCGCCACGGAGCATTTGAATGGCAGATGAGACACCAGCTGCAACAGAGAGAGCAAAGGTAAGTGGGAACAATTAACAAGCCAAAAAATGTATAAGCAAACACACTCACACAAACTGAACGGGCAATATGCAAGGGAGAAACAGTATATCACCATACCAGCCGTTGCATTGAACAAGTTAGATGGCCGACTAAAGATCATTGTTCGATATACATGATCGAAATCAGCATTGCGACGGTTGACAGCTTCTAAGTGTGCAGCAAAGTGACAGTTTACAAAGCACATTATCCAACCATAAACTCTCATCCTCAAGCCAACAGCTCCCTGGTTGGAAGAGCATTAGCCACATTAATTATATGAATGGTAAAATATAACATGATGGGAAAAAACAAGAGTAATTTCAAGCACAGGAATTCATTCTGTAGAACAATGTCATTCAAATCTTTGTGTCCATGTCTCTTTACATGTTTGTACACACGCGTGCACATACAAGGCAAATCCCCTAAGAAATAACAAAAAAATGTGGAGAAAAATATCAAAAAAGTCCACCGAGTAATGTTGCAACACTTCGTATCAGAACCTGATTTCTTACATTTACATCATTTAAATTAGGAGATAGGAGACTTGGTATTATATTGATAATAATAATAGTTTAAAATGGCATAAATATTACTTGGCAAATCCTCCATAAATCACCTATGACATTAAGGGTAACTTGTTCATCATACAGCAAACAGCCATGAATAGCAATAGTACCAAGTATAAAAATACTGTATGGTATCAAGTTAAACAATGAAAAAAATTTATGGTGATAACACAAATTTCCAAATGATTTTTTTTTTTTTTTGATAAATCCTGTATGATAATTGCTACAAAATAACAAGGACTTTATTTATGTAACTAACAGTATATGGCCAATCGGCAGAACAGAAAAACACAAGTATACCTTATTCCCAATTGCACGCCCGAAACCACATGGAACTGCTGCAACATCAACATCTCCAACATGACCTCTAATATTGTTTCTGACCCTGAAACACAATTACTAGAGATTAGACACTCAAGAAGGATAGAGACCCTAATAAGATCAACAGGAAATAAATGACATAGATGCCTCAGCAATGAAAGAAAATAGTAAACAAAAAATTCAACACTAGGCATTTTGACAACTCATAGTAATAGTAAATACAGGCAATTGTTTGTTACCTGCACTTTATAAACAAGTTGTCGGCTAATAAGAGGAAACTACAGTAGTACTTAGAAGAAGAAAGATAAGTAATGAATTCGCTATCACAATCTTAAACTGCCTTTAAGAGAATAGAAAGAGTTAAAAATCAAATGTTACAGTGACAAAGTGAACTCAGGTTTAAGGGACCAGCTAAACACCCTCAGAATTTATTGGCAGCCTAAATTTGCAATGATGAAAAAGAAACCAAGCCTAATACAAGATTTAAATGAGAATACTCACCACACAGCAATGAGCAAGCCCGCCAGCTGCCTGGAACCAACCCGTTCGAAGGTCGATCCTTCATCCAAAATTTTCCCTATCGCATCCAGCCACCACTGCCCAACAGCACTCCCCTCAAGACCTACCTGCATTTAAAAAAATAAATGAAATAAAAGTCAAAGAATCAAATGGTCACCAAAATTATAAAAAAGAAAATTAAATAAAATAGTACAGTGATATTAGGAACCATACCAAGTCACTTCACCTAAAAAATGCAAAAAAATAAAAAAAATTACATGCTGCAGCTGTCACTTTTGTTTCCAGTTCAAATCAGAAGCATCCCTCCTCTATGTTATATTGCCAACAATGACATGTCTAAACACCTTGTCAGACAAAGATCATAATGGGGATGGGTATGGCATGTGGGTAGGGTATGTCTACTGTCAGGCACCACATTCTTGAAGTGGATTTATTACACAAAGTGGTTGTTCCCAGACCAAAGATCATGTTATCGTGCTTGACAGTTGCAAACTTTTGGCATGACACCAAAGAAAACTATTGTTTTATCTCCTCAATCTCCTTGCTGTCATCCTCTACCCATGACAAAACATGGCATTGTCCTCTCATTAATTTGAATTTTCAGAACATAACTTGGTGCAAAAACCATTGTAACACCTCTTCAAATTGTAGTCAAATTTCTGTTTGATGGATAATTTTATCCTTTAAAGATCATTCAACCAATTTAGGATATCTTATATAGATATGAACATGTATTTCCGACTCATCTGCAATTGTCCATTTCAACACATGGTGACTTGTAGATTTGATCAATACAACAATTCTGAAGAAATAGAACCAATAAAAGAGGCAACTAGACAAGAGCATTGATTCTATTTTCCTGTAAATAGCACGAGCCGCTGAAAGGTGAATGGGTTGAAGGAGCTAAAGGAGAAGAGGAAAGCCAAGAGAATGGGAATTGGGGCTAGGAGGACAGACGTGAATCTCTAGGGTTTAATGAGGGTCTAATTAAGGAAGCTCGATAAAGAGGCAACTGGAGAAGATGTACTCATGTAACCAATCACAAATAGTTGGAATTAATGCTTTATTAAGTGATTAAGTTGGTTTTCTTGCTAAAGTGCCCTTTATATGAACACAATATGACATAAATAGCACAAGTCGCCGAAACAAAAGTTCCTACTAAAGTGCCCTCTATATGAACACAATACAACGTAGAAGAGAAGAGCATTTGAAATACAAACATAACTTTCACCAGCACATGCTTCAAAAATTAGGAAAGCCTTGAGGTACGTGGATAAGGGCCTCACAGAATCTGAACCATGAGTTTAAGCCTCTGAGAATCTGAGACAAACCTTGACGACTAGGCCTTACCTTTTTATGCACTAACACGTACCTAAAATTTAGTTTTGAGAAACAAGAAAGGTGAAGTTCATAAAAATATCTGACGACAGATCCCAGGTTTAATTGTCATTTCTTTAAAACCATCACAGGTTCATATTTTTATAATTTCTCTCCATAAAACCAAACAAGCAGATGAATGTTTAGTGTTCTGTTAGTCTTTCCTCTGATGCTTTAATTTTCGATGTAGATGTAATAGAATAGGTTTCGATGACACTCTGAGTTGTCTCAAGTATGTCTGTGTTTGTCAGATGTCTATCATGAATAGGTATCCATGCGACATAACTTCTACATTCGAACTTAATCAGGATCCATTAAGTATAAAAAGTAGCTCCTTCTGAAACTTGTACTTCAAAATATTTAACTTATGAAATGCCTCTTGGGTGATAGTAATGTCAAAAGAATAAGCTAAAAAATATTGGCTTAGAAAGTCCTAGATAACTTACAGTTTCTTTTGCTGCAGACATTGCAAGAAAGCCAGCACCCATTTCTACTTCCTGCAATCCAACAACCACAATGCCAACATCCACAGCTGCAGAACCAAGCCAGGATATAAGAGAGTCATGAGAGGCTCTTCCTTGTCCAACATTCCATGTACCGGCCAATATTTTTAAGGTTTCTAGCCTTGTATATAGAAATTCTTTGCCAGCTAATTCTGAACACAATATGCTATCAACAGATCCTGGAGATGTTATATTCCATCCTCGTATACCACCGTGATTAGCCAAAGTGAAAATATAACCAGCCTCAGCAGCCATATCTATTACAGGACTGTTGTGAGCTACCCAACTTCCAAGTAGATTACCATCGAAATCCAACACCTGGACCGTGCCACTCACATAACCTACCCATATTCGTGACCCAAACGTACAAAAACACTGAACAGAAAAAGAATGGTACTGGAACTCTTGCAAACGATTTCCATTTCCATCCCACTGCACAAGTAATCCATTCGAACACCCAGTCCAAATCATTCCATCAATAGTAGTAATCAGTGATTCAGTTCTCCTGTTATCATCTCCAAAAGCTCCCTTCACTGCAGCTCGACGAACAGCATCAGCTGCTCCCAGTAAAGCATTACGTGAGCGTTGAAAGAAACTGAAGGAACCTTGTGCTTTCTCCTTCTTTGAACCAGAAAAATACTTCACCTTCACCTCGTCTTCCATTGGATCTTGTATTAGTGACATGTTCTCAACTTGACCATCTATGTTGAACATTTTCAGTAACTCCCTTGTACGAGCATCCCTGCAGAATAACAATTCTTAAGATGATTCAAACTCATGTATGAAATAGAAGAGTTAGACAAGAATATAGAATCAACAAGGACAAATAAGCTAATACTAATTTTTCATCAAATGTTGTCACAGATTTCTTTAAAACCACACCCTGCATTAAGGCAAGAGGCAAGCCAAGGCCAAGAGCAGCAGAGATACCTTGAGAGTTGAGACATGCCATGGCCAGCAAGGGCAGCCCTCAGTGTTAGCACACTTGGCACTGGGCATTGGTGTGGCAAAGGGCTGAGGAGCATTTCGGTAATTTAGCAATGTTGTGGGATTTTCTCAAATTAGACATCATAACTTCTCACATATGGGGGATGTTTCCTCCTATCATACCAACGATTTCTAATTTTGCATACATAGAGAGGCTGATATGACATCCTCTCAGCCCCAAAATCTAGTGTGCACTAGGGTATTACTGATGAACCATGACCAAGCGTGTGGACTCTTTATGTGCCAACAAGGCAGTTGTAGCATTGGTGATTGGTTGAGACCTTTCACAAATTGTAGGCTTTTCAGAATAGTGCCAGATAGAAAATTTGTGGCAGTTAAGCTCGATTTTCACATTAGCTTCCTTCGGTGTATGACACATTAAAATACGGTTGTGCAGACAATTGCCAGTGCACATAAAGAACAAACATAACTGCTCAGAGGCAGATAATGTTGATGAGTCCTAGAAGTTTTGTACAACTGTATCTAGGAGATGATGTTGATGAAACAGTCCCAGATGCTTTGTAGGAATGTCATGTAAAACTCACTGTAATGTTATATATGGAGGGATCACAAAGAGTCTTTGGTCAGATATGAGTTCCTTCATATTCAGTAAGTTGAACAAAAAGGCTGAGGAGTGATTTCCCTGTAAATCTGCGTGCAATGTGAGTTTATCTGATCAATTGTGTGCAAAAAAGGAAAATTCCAAGTGACAATATAGTGTCGGATCAGTTTGGCGGCAATGGTCGGTGGGTATCAGCAAAAGGATGACCTGCCTTGAGGATTTCATTGGCCCTTTACACTGAGAAGATGCCATCTCTCTTGTCATCAGATCAGTCGTTCCAGCTTCAAACTCTTAAAGGGACATCCTTCTCCGCACCACATTGGTCTTGCTTCGAAGTTGACTACCATCAACAAGTTGGATATTTTTTAAAAGTTGTGTAATATGTAATGGTCTTTAAGTTTATAATTAACTGACGGTCGTTTAAGTTGATGTCTTATCATCACATCATTCCATTTTCATGTTATCTAGCATGCAATTATTCATTTTATTCAATTAAAATGCTGTACTTCATGTTGGATTTTCAAATTGAAAAGGATATGGTATGTTATATGCTTTTGCTCTGTGAAAGGAATTTGATACTGATTCTTCTTAAATATTTGAAAATGCTAAATTGATATTAGAAAGTGAAATTTTTAAAAATCAGACATGTTGAAACCAATTGTGAAAAGGCAGAATGCCTAGTATGATGAAATTCTGTTTGGACACAGTACTTTGCAGAGCACTTAACATCCTTGTGAGGAGGTGGCCGCGGGGTGGGGTGGGGGGTGGGGGGGTGTATTTTATCATGATACATGATCTCATGGACTTCTATGATTAGCGAACAAGGAATTCTGTGTGTCTGATCACTGGCGTGCAAAGTCAAACTTTGATACTAATTCTCAAGCATTGAAGACAACTTTTTTAATGGGTCTATTCAGGTGTTTCCGGGCCGGTAGAAAATTCAGATAAGAGGTATATTTTGGGAAATGCTGTCCGATTAGAAGAAGGTGGGACTGACCTTGGTATAACGGGGCAATTTTAATGTAGTGAGATTCCCAAGTGAGAGAACAAGAGAGCCGCAATTATTTATAAATAGAAACTTTTAGTTCACTGATTTTCGCCTTCTGATGGACTAGTCTGAGCCAGATTCAGTTGGTAGAGCAATAGGGGTATTCCCACTTTGTCTAGGTCGAAGTTAGAACAGATTCTAGTGTTGCGCGAGTGGAAAGACACTTTTCTAATGTGGCTCAATTGACCTTGCATCACTAATCTTCGATCATATTGACATCTTAGTAGATGAAAAGAGTCATTACAGGTGGCCGAAAGACATAACTTCAATGATCTTGTGAGGAATTGATGCACTGGGTATATAAGGTAACTAGTTTTTCAGGATTTTTTTGGGCTTGAAAACTGAAGATATCTAAGGAAGATTAGAGACAAAAGCAATGAGACTTGAGGAGTCTTTGCAACCTAGAATGAAAAAAGCAAAAGTGCTAGGAAAAATCAAGGATTTGGATGGAGAAGAAATGGATACTGGGCTAAATGAAAAGAAAATGGCAAGAAAAGATGAATAAAAAGACTGAGCTTGGGAAATTCACAAATGGAGAAAATGAATTGGAGGCAAAATCCAGGATTTTATGGCTTAAGAAAGGGGATATAAATACTAAATTTTTCTAGAGACTAACGAATCCACATAGGGTCGATCACATAAAAAGTATATTGTGGATAGAGAAGAGATTAGCATATAGGATGATATCAAAACAAGCATAGTTGAATTCTATGCTAAGCTGTACTATGAGACAACTATAAGACAGCATGGTTTGGAGTGCAGTAGGACCTGGAGGCCAGACATGGAGTGGCTGGAAAGGTCATTCATGAGATGGTAACTTCTTTATAGAATTGCAATGGAAACAATGCCCCCAGACAAAATGGTATGATGATGGCTTTCTCCCAACAGATTAACTGGCGATCAGGAATGATGGTCTCGATGCGATAATTTGGTTTCTCACTTGGGGGTGCTCAGAGGAGCTTGAACGCTTCCTTAATTGCTCTAATGCCCAAAAAAGGAGCCAGGAACTACAAGGACTTTAAACCTATCAGCTTTAGTTGAGAGTGCGTATAAGCTTATAACTAACGTATTGGCCTTAGGTCTTTGAGGCAATAATTGGGCTTAGCATGAATCTCAAAATGCCTTTGTTTAGGTTGATAAATCTTGGACACAGTACTTGTAGCAAATGAGTTTATGAAATAGATTTCAGCATCCATTGGAATATTTTGTAGCATGTGGTAGCGAAGGATGGATTTAAGCCCAATTGAAGAAAACGCATCCCATCTCTTCCTTGGGACTTTGTTGAAGGATAGGACATTCTGGGATTTGGTATTAAAAGAGTGTACCGAGAGGAGATTAGAAGGGCAGAAGAGGCAATATCACCTAAAGGGAGGCAAGCTTACTCTTATAAAGAGTACTCTATTTTCCAATAGCTATTTCAGTGCAAGCAAAACTAGATAAGCTGCAGAGGGATTTTCTATTGATAGGTATTCAGGATGATTCAAATTGTTTTTTCTTTCATAAATAGGATGATTCAAATATCACTTGGCTGATTGAGAACCAATTGTTCTCCTGTGTAAGTTTGAGGGTTGAGACTCAAAAACTTGAATCTTTTTAAATCAATCTCCATTTTGGAGCAGTGGCCCAGAAAAAAATGCAAAAGGTGTCAATAGACTGTGGAGGAGGGTTAATAGTGGAGCGGAGATGGCATGCGAGAAAGGTACGCATCTGTTACAGATTGGAGTGTGAAATACTATTAAGAATGGTTGAAATGATTTCATTTCATGGTGGGGAATGGTAACTAAATCCACTTTTGGTATGACCATTGGTGCAGAAAGGTACTCCTCGAGGTTTTCTTGGGATGTGTTCCCCATTTTCTAATACAATTTTACTTGTCAAAAATATATATATATAGAAGACGAAGAAGAAGAAGAAGAAGAAGAAAGGTACTCCTCGAGAGGTTGTTCCTGAGGCTCTTTAAGACTGCTGCAGATGAGGAGGCTCTTGTAGCAAGCACGGTTGTTTAGGACATCGAGTTTACCAGGGGATTGCAGGACTGGGAGGTCTAGGCAGTGTAGGCTTTCCTTGTGTTGTAGTATCAGTAGGTCGATGTAAGAGAGGAGGGCTCTCATGGTAAGTTTATGTCTAAGGGCAGAAAGTTCAAGGTTCAATAGTTTTATAGGATGCTGTAACGAAGGGGCAGCCACAATGTTCCATAGAAGGCTATCAGGAAGGCAGACCTGAAAGTGTCTACCTTTTGGATGGACGCACTTCCGATCCTTACCGTTGACAACTTGATCAAGAGACATAGCATTATGGTCAACTTGTACGTTTAGGAGAGTTGGGGAGACAGCAGACCATTTGTTGCTCCAATGCCCATTGGCAAGAGACTTGCTGGTGTTGAATCTTTTCTCTATTGAGTATTCTGTAGGTATCGCCTAGATCTTGTCAAAGGCTGTGTCTAGATGAAGAAGAGATGGTAGACAGTCAGAACAAGACTTGTAGCAGCAAAATCCATTTAGTTCTTGGTGATGTCTATGCCGGGAAAGAAATCGTAGCTCCTTCAAAGGGGTAAACATAATTATCTAGAAATTGGGAATAGTGTTTTTAAATTATTTGCTCTTTTTGTGTCTTGGGAAAATTGTTTCTCATGGCAAGTATTTTGTAGAATTTTTGGGGATATGAAATTATAGATCTTGTATAATTATGTTCTGTGTACTTGAGTCGTTGCCCCTTTGGCACTTTTAATGAAATAATTGCTTATAGAAAAAAAAAAAAAAAAAAAAAAAAATTAATTAAATTTTACATTTTGTAGATTATTTCCAAAGGAAACATATATTTCCAAGAAATTAAACTGCCAACAAAAACAACTTGTCATTAACTTTCCAAAAAACAATATCCAGTGGGAAAAGTATTGCAATGCAAATGAAAAAAATACCCAGCACCCTCCTCTTTTTATACCTTCAAAAAACAAAATCCAAAGTAAAAAACTTACCACAATGCAAATGACAGACACCCAGCACTCCACACTTTTGCTCCAGAATGATCAGATGACATATACTTTACATCTGAAGAGAATATGTTACAGCCACCATTCACATTGACTTGGCTCCTAAGGTCAATGTATGATCTCTCCACCAATAAAGCAGCCATGTGCCTTTCCTCCATTGTCAGAGAAAGAGATTTTTCAATGGCCTCCCATGGCCAGATCTTAATTACACCATCAGAACCCGACCATAAATCACCTGGATGAAAAATAGAAGTCAGAAAAACAGCATAAATAATCTGCAGACAACATAAATTCCATTATTTCCCGTCTGTTTTGTTAAACTACATACCACAAAAAAATCTGAAATTTTGAAGTTTAAACAGAAAAGAGAAAATGAAACTTTGAGAAGTACATACACACCCACTTGAAGCCTCACAGAAATGCAAATATTACAACTAAGAAATACTTGGTATCCAAAAAGTATCGAATGTGTGAGCAAAGTATCGGATAATGGCCAAAGTATTGAATACGTGACTGCATTATTTGAGAAGTTTCGAACACATATTTGAAATAAAATAGTAGATATTTTCACTTATCAAAAAAAAAAAAAAAAAGTAGATATTTTCAAATTATGACCTTTTGGAAAGTATCGAACACCCATCCATCCATAAGTATCCGACAAGAACCGATATCCGACATGGATACATTCTCCCTATATGAGTATTTGTGCTTGATAGAACTGATCTTCCCAGGTATAGAATTGATCTTCCCAGGTATAGTAACAATCAAAGGCCATCTCTTTAATCTCTTCTCTCATCACAAAATCTGTGTTATTACTTTTAGGTCTTCTGTGGTAATAAGTTGTAACAATTTAGGTGTTTTTAACTCATAACATGCCTATTAACCAAATGAATCTAAATTTAATTCTTTTTCCACCAGTTGCAACTCCAAGCAACAAATATTAAGGCACTTGCCTTGGTAAAGAGAGAGATTGTTGGGGCTCTATGAACATGGACCAAGAACATGCTAGGAAGCATAGACACGGACAACATACATGGACAATAAAATATATAAAAAAAAATTATATTAAAAAACATATTATATATAAAAACAATATTATTTTTTCAGTAAAGATAAACAATATTATTTCCAAATAAGAAAATTTAATATTTCATGACTACACCATGAAATTTATAAATTATGAAGCTTATAATTATAACTAAAAGAAAATCACATAGATGTATAAGATGCATTGGTCATGGGCCCGGTTACTAACGCTTTCACTTTCTTACTTTTGCTTTCTTCAAAAGTAAAATCATAATTTTCATTCCTGAATCTGAAATACAAAGTAGAATTATGTTTACTAATTTTTTATGCTTTCAATATTTTCAAAGAAAGAAATTAGAAAGCAAGTTTAATAATTATAATTTTGATTTTGTTTTCTAAATTTACAATCAATGTTGTATACTCTTTATATGATATATATATATATATATATGTATGTATGATCACAGCTGCAATTGACGCCGGAATGGACCACCACCAGGTATGGGAAGAAATTCGTCACTGCTACCTTTCAATCAAATGAATAAGAAGACTTGGTTGATTCAAGGATTCTGTGATTGAAACCAAATGTACAAGGCATGGGAAGAAATTGGTGTGCCGCGTTGGTCAACATCAGCGACTGACGTTGTTTTCCTCATCTTCCTCTTAGTTGATTTGAGCCTCAATTTGCTCTTCCTCTGACGAATTCGAGCCGCCCGACAGAGATCCTTTGTTGAATCCTTTGATTTTGATGGTGGGTTTCGCCATCGACAATAGCTCCTCCGTGGGAAGCGAGTGTTTGTAGAGAGAGAAAGAGAGAGACATAGGAGGGAGGCATTCTAACATAAACTAAAGAAGATTTCGGATGTGGCGATGGTGGAGGTGGTTGTCGGCAATGGCGATGGTGGTGGTGGTTGTCGACGGCGAGGGTCTGCCCTCTAGGGATTTGTTTTTTTTTTTTTCTTCTTCTTCTGTGACTGGTTGATGGATTTGGGTTTATTGTTGATGGTGTGTATGAGAGAGGAGAGATTGGTGCTTCAATCCAATTTTGAATACAGAGAAAGAGTGATTGGGGCTTGATTCGATATCGAATACAGAGAAACTGAAGCTACATCATCATCTTCTTCGGCATCGTCGTCTTCGTCCAGATAGACAGAGAGCGATACTGATAGAGAGAGAGTGTGGTCGCCGGGTGGTGTCTTCCATCCTCGTCGGTGGTTAGTGTCTTCCATTGTTGCCGGTTGGTGGGATAAGATGATGATGATAGAGAGGGAGAGGATGATGGGTGATGCTCAGAATGGGTGATGCTCGGCTGATGGGTCAGTGAATGCTACAGTAACAGAAAGTATTTTCTGTGTACAGTGGAGAAAATAGAGAAAGTAACAAATCTTCACTTTCTCTTTCCTTCATTAAATGTGAAAGTACTTTCTAAAAGCTGAAAAGAAAATTCATCTTAATAAACATAATTTGTACTTTTACTTTATATTTTTAGGAATTGAAAGTATAAAACAGGAATGATTCCTGTTAGTAAATAGGCCCCATATATTACGCATGCCCGACAAGTGTCTCTTAAGATTTATTTATTTTTTAATCAAGGACATTTTCAATATGTGTCTGACACGTATCGGAGAGTGTCCAACAAGAATCGGGTTCGAAATATCTCAAAAATGGACAGGAACCTCCTTAAAATCGTCTATGCTTCTAAGAATACGTGTAAAAAAGGAAGTGTGTCAATTGTCAGGCATCCCAAAATCTCAAAAACTTAGGACTTAACTTGAAATGTGTCCAGAGGTGTGATGTGCACTACGTGGAAACATCCTACACATTTATATAAACAATGTATTATATAACAGTGTAATGTAATGTGTTCTTTAATGATGTACTCAATTAGAATTTAAATTAATATGATGTGGTAAAAAAAATGGGTTTCATCTATTAGTAGAAAACTCTCCTTTGGTATCAAATTTAAACTTTTTCTTTTTCTTCTATCATCACATGTAGAGCGTCAAGGTATCATATTTGAGTTTGAGGGTCGAACACATCCCACACCCATATCTACGGGAGTCTATGCAATACAGCTAGACTTCCGATTTTCATTATGTATGGGACTAGAAATGTTTGAATTTATTTAAATAGTATAACATTACAGTGTAGTTTTAATTTTCTTTTGATTCATTTTGTTGTTGTCCCACATCGAAAAGTGAATGGGACTTGAAGGCCATTATGATACCTGGTCTCTCTTCAAACTATGCGAAAGTTATGGGTATCCTGATTGGATCTATTGTTATGAAAGGAAAAGAAAAGAAAAGAAAAAATAATATAAAATTGATGGGGGTCTTTCACAAAGAGATAGCTTTTACTCTGTTTGAGGAGGTGAGATCATACCATCTAAGCTAATGTCCAGAAACATAATCAGAAATATGTAAAGATATTCCACAGGTAACAAGGCTATTATTGTAAATAACCCACATAATCAAGCCAGATCACAGCTCGGTGACCCTGGTCCATTTACACTCTTCACACCTATCCCTATTCTGATGATTGTTTTCCATACCCGTCTCCCTTGGAGCCAGGTAATCGAGTTAAATTGATATCACTGATTAAAAACAAGAATGTTTCGGTACATTATGTTTCATTTATTGGGAAATTGATGGAGGAAGTATTTTGAGTGAAATTGAGTTTTGTCCATTTACAAATTGGGTTGAATGGGTATTTCTAATTGAAAAGAAAAATATTACAGCAAGTTACATTTCAAAATGGATGGAGTATAGAGTTTAAATGAAATACCAATTTTCTGATTAAATTCATATGATCAATTTTGCATCAGCTTCAAAAGAATATCTAAATGGGTTTTCATTCTTGTATATACCAAGAAGCATGAAGATGCATTTATAACTAAACAGAGCATAATCATAATGGGACTTAACACACTGCAGGAATCATGCCAAAACAAATGTGTTTCATTTACTTGATCCAAACAAATAAGCTTACACAAATGTAGAACATAATATTGCGATTCAAAAAAATGCACCTTACCATAAGATGTCATGACAATGGAAAAAACAGCACCACGATGAGCCTGCCATGAGAAGCCTTCCTTGAAAGGAGACCCATCTGAACACTGATCCATCTTCCACGACCTAATCTTCCCATCCCTGTGCCCACTCCACACCACCCCATTTGCAACATCCGCAATCAAGCAAAGGGTCGGCGAAGTGCGAACGTACTCGCAGAATGGAGCCGCCTCCTCATCTCCACGACGAGTCATTGTCTCCTTCGTCCCATTCCTGTACACATCCGACAACTTCCAGAATCGCACTCCACACTCCGAACCCGCCCACAATTGAGACTCCGTCGACACCAGAGTCCTCAGAAAACTCCCAATCTGCGTTTCCCTGAGCGGGTGAGGCCTCAATTCAAGACTCGGCGGCCGTCCGGGATGCACGGCGGCTCGAAGCGGAACCTTGAAGATCCCGCTTCCTCCACCGCGGGCTACGAACTCCGGCAGAGCCCGACGATTGGAATCTGGCCCATTCTGATCATCGTTATTCGGCGACGAGAGCTTTCGATCCAAGAACTGGATCATGTAATCGAGCCGCTTGCCGGCGCTCTGGACAATCCCATTCTCGAAACCAGAACTTCCGGCCGAACAGAACTCATCTTCCGACGACGAATCGTCGAACCGATCAAACACTTTGGGACTACGATGACTACCTTGATCTTCGTTGAGACTAAATTGCCTAACCGCTCTGTGTAGATGATTTTCTTCTTCTTCTTCTTCTTCTTCGTTTCCGAGCCCCAAATTTTCACTGTAACAGTGCAGTTTTCGGTACGAAGAGGCGGTACTCGGTGATGAGAGAACATCAGCATCGTCGTCTTCGATTAAAGCACCTTCCATGGCGATAGATTCTAGAGCGATAATCTAGAGAGAGAGAGAATTTAGAGAGAGAAAGTGTGATAACGGAGTGAGGGTGAAACCGTGAAACCGATGAGTGTGGGAGAGCCGGTCATGTTGGGACAGGGGGATTCGGGTTTCGGGTTCGGACACAAAAGGTCAACGAAAAGACATGATGTTGACTTTTATGTCCATGATCGCCAATGGACACGTAACTCTCATCACCGTCCATCTGGCTTCTGTCTACCAATAAAAAACGTTCCTAGTATAATCCTCCATTAGTAATTTTTTTGGTAATTCATTTTTTATTCTAATTTTGGGAAGGGAAAAAACAGTTACTTGAGGATAAGGGCAATTTTTGTGTTTGATAAAAAAATGTTTTGTTTTATATAATGAATAGTAATTAAAAGTGAAAATATAAATTTTGAATTTCTATACTGTAACAATGACAAATATTGTAATAATAAATAGTATTTTAAAAAATAATAATTTGAAAAACTCTTAACGACCTTTTTAAATTAACCATTGTATTTTTTTACCAAACAAGTTTATATATTTTTGCTTTCAAAAAATTTGCAACTAATAAACATTAGCGAACATGCTCAGACTTATCCTTCAAAACACCATACAACAAAATAATTGTTTTATTTCGGGCTAAAAGAAAAACAAAAAAATAAAAGGTGGTACCAAACAAGTCCTAAATAAAAACTTTGAGTTGTGTGTTTAATTGAATTGGAATTATATTTTTAAATTTTTTTCATTAAATGAGCCGGTTCCAAATAACTTTTCACTCAAATTACCATTGTCAAGTTCAAATTATTTTTTATTTGAAGTAGTAAGTTTGGAAGTACATCTGTTCTTACAAAATTATGAATAACTATTAAGACTCGTAAATATAATATATTTATTTGGACTTGCTTGGATCGAAACCGATTTTTTATTTTTTATTTTCCTAGATGACAATTTCAAGTTTAATCCCAAATTTAATTTCAAAACTCAGTATACATTTCAAATCAGTTGAATTAGAGCTCAAGAAACAATATCCAAGTCATTCAAATTGGTTTCATTTGCAATAATTTTCATGTGATACTGAAGGAAAAAGCTACCTAGTTTTTTGGACTTTGGCCAATAAAGAGACAAAAGTCATCAAATATGTCTTAATCAGTTAGACCGATCAGCATAAAATCATATGTGTGTGTGTATATATATATATAAATATTGAGTCTGATTTGAATTTTCTGTCACGTATGTGTGTGTATTATATTATATAGGCATATAGTCGTATATACAAAATAATACTGAGTCTGAATTGAATTTTCATGTGTGTGTATATTATATAGGCATACATACATACATATATATATATATATATATATATAGCATATGACTAGTATTTGTGTGTGGATGTAAAACGCCCATTCAGATTCTTATTTAGCGATCATGACAAAAGTCAACAAGTATTTTTTTTTTTTTTTCTTTTTCTTTTTATTTCTTTCTAATAAGTGGTGAGTGAGTTAGGCTAACATGGCTGGTATTGATAGTGTATTTATATATTATATTTTGGTCAAACATGATCTTCATTTGCAGGTAGAGGTAGGTTATGAGTCCATTATTAGAGAATATGAAATTATTGATGAACATGAAGCTATGTTTGTGACAACCACCATAATAATTCTAAATAATTTCAATCTATTGAAGCCAAAGGAAATAAGATTTAGTAAATTAGTTTTGAGTCTAACAATACTGCTTATAATTTATATTGGATTAGCACAAGAGTTAATATATACTCCGTATGTTTTTACTTATTTTTTTTGTTTGTGATAAAAACTTAATTGAGCCGGACCAACCTATGCTTGTTGCATGCATCTTATTTTAAAAAAAGTGAACCCCATGCACTATTCACCCGGTTCAATGAAGTTTTACTCCAACTTGAGTTGTGAGCAAGGTGCACCATATCATTTCACTTTTTAAAAAAAATGTTGAAGGCTCAAATCCAACATAAGTATCTGCATGACTAAATTTTTTGTCAAAATATGCTCCAACATGCATAATTCAACATGCATGTGTTCCACGTAACCAAGGGTGTCACTTGGATGAGCCAACTTGAATTTAATTTGAAAAGAGTAAGAAATGCGATATTTGCTCCCCTCATATGGTGAAAGAGGGGATCCGTTTGAAAAAAAAAAAAAAAAAAAAAAAAAAAAAGGATAATATTAGTTATAAGAGAAAAAAAAAGTATATTAACATCTTTTATTCATTTTTGGATAAATTATGTGAAAAAAAGAAAAGAAATAATAGTGTTTTTGTTTGGAAAAAATAAAAGAGAGAAAATAAAATAAAGGTTAAGAATTAAATTACTATCATAACCTTTTTATAAAATGTTACGAGATAGAAGTCAAATACTATAAGAAGGTAGTTTTGGTATTATGAAAATACTGTTTACTCACTATCCTTTCCTTCCAAATCTTCTAATTTTTTTTGGAGAATAACACATGAGGGATTTGAAGAGATAGCAATTCCTCCAATTTCTCCCAATCCTTTCTATTCTCTTCATTAAAAGCTACCCAACACGTGATTTTCAGAATCCATTATTTTCTTTTTTTTTCCAAATTCCTCCAAATCACTCGATCCAAACGAAGAAAATGTGAAAAAAAAAAATAATAAATAGTGAGTTACAAACTTGAACAGATCTTTTTTATATGAGACTCTGCAATTCGTTGGATTTAGATTGAAAAATGTCAACCAAAACTTAATTTGGATTGGACTTTGTTAAGGTGACAATTAAATAGTACATAACCATTACTTAAATCAATGTTGCACTTTGACCCCTCAATTAGCAATTAGATAATTAAAGCTATCAATCCGATTATACAATTAATATATTAATATTGGTTTCTTGATTTGCTTTAGAAAAATTACTGCTTTGAATAAAGTTCCTCTAACCAACCATTCTCGCCTCAACCTGGCTACGCTCCGTTGTCTCGGATTTCAATCGATCCAAACAAATCATGATTAGCTATCGGATAATTGTATGATTGTTTTTCTCTTAGAAGATTGATTCCATCATAGCCCATTGAGTCCTAAAAGACCAGACCTCTAGATTCCAAATTTGTGAGCCCTGTGGCCCAAGTTCTTGGATTTTTTTACTCAAAAATGGGTTCTTGTAAAAGAGGCCCAATTGAAAATTTCACCATTTCTACTACAGGTATGTGGGTCAGGGGCCCAAAATCAATGTTGAATTTATACAACAGCCCATTTTCTGGAAACTTCGTCGCAAATTAACTGCATATAAGTCAATCAAACCCATTAATGTTCGTTGTATCACCGTGGGCCAGTTTGGTTGGGAAAAAAATAGAATATGTTAGGTCTGTTTAGTATGTGTTTTGTTTTTAACTGAAACAAAATAAGTGTTTGTTGTAAATTGTTTTGAATAGTAATCAGAAGTATGTTTGATAACGTTTATTTATTACAAGATTTTTGGAAGTAAAAATACGAAAACTTGTTTGATAAAAAAGTGTTATAAATTTGAAAAATATAATGTTTACTATAAAAGTATTATTTAAGAATTTTTCAAAATTTTTTTTTACTACAATACTCAGTGCGGAAACATACAAAATATCAAATTGGTGTTTCGATTTTTTGATATTATTCCCGAAACGTTTTGGCACTGTACAAAACAATTTTTACAAAATGTATTTTTTTCACTGTTCACTACAATAACACCCAACAAAAACAAAATGTGTATCAAACATGCCATTATTTTTGTGTTTGGTATAAAATTTTGGAAGGAATAAAAAAAAATAATAAATAAATAGATAAAAAAAAAAACAGTCACATATGAAATTTTCATTTATTTGTGAATAGTTAGAATGTAGTAACTCTTATGTAACTAAATGTTGTCAGCTAGACTTACTATTCTGCAGCAACTCATGTGCCTACTTCATTATACGTACAATCTCAAAACTACAGTGGTTCTATAATTTCTATTAGTTTATTTACACATATACATTAAACAAACAACATTAATGATATGTACTTGTTTTTCCATATTTTGAATATTCTCTTCAAATATTTTAGACTCCATTTTGACTATTATGTATCTGTTTTCACTTAATTTTTCTCATTTGAGTATTTTATTTTGTATTCAAAATTTTCTGTTTCATTCACCACGAAAAAAAAAAAAAAAATCTGTTTCATTCTTCCACAGAGCATAACTTTTTAATTTGATTTTTATTTATAATTTTGTATATCTATTTTTACTCCTACCCATTTGATTAATTTTTGTTTCTTTTCATATTTGTTTTTTTATCCGCAAACATGTCTTGCTTATTTACATAGTATTTTCTTAGGTTATCGAAAGGCCGGGTGCATGTCTTGAAATTTGTCCACAATCAAAATCAACAAGGGTTCGCCTTTTTTTTTTTTGGTATTTTTATTTTTGTCAAGTACTATAGTGAAAAAATATGTTTGGTAAAAACTATTTTGTTTTAAATAATGTTAAAATGTTTCGTGAATAGTAATCAAAAGTTGAAACACCAATTTTGTTTATATGTTTTTGCACTATAACAACGGCTACTATAATAATGAAAAAAAAAAAATTTGAAAAACTCACAAATGACATTTTTAAACTAGTCATTATATTTTTAAAGAGAAATGATAGATCTTCTAACCTTAATTGTCGACTTTTCCTCCGAATATAACTTGGTTGGATCCCATTAGAACTCTTAAAAAAATTTCCAAAAAAAATTGAAAAACTCACAAATGACATTTTTAAACTAGCCATTATATTTTTAAAGAGAAATTATAGGTCTTCCAACCTTAATTGCCGACTCTTTCTCCGAATATAACGTGTTTGGATCCCATTAGAACTCTTAAATTTTTTTTCGTAAATATCTTTTTATTTTCGACTCATTTCCAACCACGTTATATTCAGAGAAAGAGTCGGCAATTAAGGTTGGAAGATTTATCACTTCTTATTTTTAAAACTTACAATATTTTTCTAACAAATATGTTTTTTTTTTTTGTTTTTGCTTCCAAAATTTTTACAATAAATAGACATTACCAAGCATGCTTCTAATTACTATTCAAAATACCTCCAACAAAATACTTATT